TGACAATATGTTCAAAATATGAGATGAAGTTTGGCCATCCTGGCCTCCAAGGAGCACTCTGGCTGTACTTCTTCCAACACAGATCTGTTTGTTCTTTTGGCAGCCCATGGTATTTTCAATATTCTCCTACAGCACCATTAACTCAAATGCATCAGTTCTACGATCTTCCTTATTCACCGTCGAGCTTTCGCATGCATATGAGGTTACTGAAAACACACGGCTAACTTACTATTAGTCTGTATGTTTTCCCAGAACCTTGTTGTTAAATGCTGTCGAGTTGGTTCTGACTCACAGTGACGCTGTATAAGGTTTATGAGGAGAGACTGGTGAGTTTGAACCGTTGACCGTGAGGTACAAACCGATGTTGCAGTCCAGTGCTTATCATACACTGCCACACCAGGTCTCGTCCCAGAACCTAAACGGGAGTTTAACAGAAAGCCAGAGTTCAATGAACAAATGAGTGTGTGCACAGACATCCAGGGCAATTTAACTCCTGGTGGTTGGGCAGGTGTTGTGGCAGGGGCAGTGTCTAGGAATGTATGAAATGGAGTCAAAGGCCTAGGTTTAAAAAATCCTGGCTCTGCTAATGACTTGCTGTGACTTTGGATTTGAGAATCACTCAGCACCCTGGAATATGCTGCTGCTTCCATAACATGGCCAACTCCAGAGGGTTGCTATGAGGATTAAAGAGAGACTATAAAAAATGTCTGCACACAGTAAAACTGTAACGAATGGGAGCTGTTGTTGTAGTGAAAGGAGCAGTGTTTGCTCAACTGCTAGCTAAAAGGTCAGTGGTTCAAAACCACTGGCTGCTCAGCACAAGAAAGATGTGGCAGTGTGCTTCCTTTGAGTCTAGCCTGGGAAGTCCTATGGATCAGTTCTCCCCTGCCCTATGCGGTCATTAGGAGCTGGAATTGACTGGGTGACAATGGGCTTGTTTGTTGTGTTGTCATAGTGATGATGACATCAAGAACAAACAGCTCTGGCTGTTTCCACCCCCTGGTGGATAGAGACAAACATTGAAAGGATGACAGACATTCAGCAGAGTGGGATTACCTCAGAGGAGAAGGAGGCAGCACACTCAGGGATGGGCAGACAGGCTGCTAGAAGGGTCCTGTGTCGGGGCTACAGATGTGCTGATTATTATATTATTATATCGACTCTTTTGTCTGCATATTCCCAATGAAATGAAGGTTTTTAAAAAGAAGTTCACAGAGAAGAGGGCTGTCTTAAATGGCCCAGAAATGGCTTCCCATGTACCACCTGGCTCTTGTTTTACACATGGCTGAGCTCATGCTATCTTGCATGGATGAAGCGAGGGGACTGAAAAGGATACAGTGTTTCCAGTGGGTAAAGGCCCGCCGAAGCACCATCCTCCTGGCCAGCCCCTCCACCAGGGCGCGGTGGGCGTACAAGCTCTGCCTCCACTCCCAGGCCCACTGCCAATCACAGAAGTGTGTCTGGAGCACGGTGACACGGTGGAATTGTTCCGCCATCTCTGTAAAAGGGAGAGTAGCTGAGATAAGCTAGGATATTTTTTAAGAGAAGCTGGACCCTACTACAGGTAGACAGCAGGGATTCAAGGCTACGGTCATTGAGAATTCTTACATCAACGTTTTTAAACACTGGGAATTCGTTATTGTTGTTGTTGTTGTTGTTAAGTGCCTCTGAGTCAGTTCCAACTCATAGCAACCCTCTAGAGGGTTTCCAAGAAGTGACTGGTAAGCTTAAGCTGCCAACGCTGTGATTCAAATGACTTTACAGTCCAGGGTATTAGCCCACAGCACCACACCAGGACTCCCTTGTTGGAGTCAAGTGCCATAGCGACCCTGTATAGGGTTTCCAAGGAGCAGCTGGTGAGCTTGAACCGCCAACCTTATAGTTCAAACGGCTTTGCAGTCTGGAGCATTAACCCACAGTGCCACATCAGGACTCCCTTAGGCACCCGTTAATTATATATCTTTTCCTCGGAGAGAAAAAAGGGAGGGGTGCTATGAAATCTGCTATGGAATCTAATTAGAATCTATTTCAAATCCCTGATGAGCAGGAACAAGGACTGCTGCTTTCAGACCAGACCAATGTTACTTCTGCCTCTACGCTGATCTCTCGGGATGGGTGTGGGGTACCCTGTGACATACAGCTCTGTGGACATGCTGCAAAGGCTTTTGTGAATTTTTGGCTGAGCTGACCCTCTTCCTTTTAACACAAATCCGCTAAAGGTCTGACAAAGTGCCAGGAAGCGGATGTCCTAGAACTAGCATACAGGACCTGGAGGCCTGTTTCAGCTGGCTGCTCATCATGCTCGAAAGAAAAATGCCTTCAACTTCCAGGCTTGGGTAACTGAACGTTGGTCCCCCAACACGATCACCAAGCACACACACTCAAAGGCTCCTAAGAGACAGAGCTGGCATCCTGGTAGGTTTCTGCAAAGAGGTTTGGGTAAAACCTGGTAAGCCTGACTTTTATTTTTAATGTAAGGTTTTTATTGTGGATCGAGTGAAAGTTTACAGGGCACATCATCAGTTTCACAATCAATAATTCATATAAATTGTTTCATTACATTGATGATAACCACCCCCACCCCCGGCATATACCATCAGTTAACAGTATTTCTCTCTATCCACTTTAGCTTTTTAAAAAACACACAAACAAAAAAACCCACTCAGGCAAATACAATAATTTACATCTCCAAAGGGCACATTCTGAAAGTCTGCTCCTGGCCACCAGTTCTTAGTCCTTCTCTTCTTAGTTGATGAATCTAGAGTCCTCAGCCGCTCCACCTATCTATGCCCCCATCTCTGCCTCCATCTCTGGCCCTGCTGCTTCTCTGGATAAGGGCCCACATTCTATTTGTGTGTTCCTCTCCTGATGGTCCTAGGGTCCTCTGTTTCTGGACTGTAAGATCAACCACTTCCCTTTTTTTGTTACAAAACTTCTACCTTTACAAGTGTGACAGTCGCGATTAGTCATGATAACAGTTATTCACTATTGAATCGTACGAATCTTATCCCCCTCTCCTTTCACCAGACCCATCTAGACAAGATGTTAGCTATTCAGTGGGGACTCTCTTTCCCTCTACACTCGTAAACTAAGCTTCTTCTTGAAACCTTGTAAGCGAGTCACTTCGTGCCTTTATTGCACCCTCATTTTACATAGCCAATGTTTAAGTTGCTCGTCCCTATCTATCCTGTGTAAAGAGTGGATAGCATTGATACTTGGTTTGAAGACTCTTTCCCTCTCTGTTTGTATTTAGAGTAACTACCGCTCTGAATATAGGTCAGGTTCATCATGAAGATGTATCTTCTGTCACTGTAGCTGTTCCAGTCTGCTTGTCCTTTCTAGTGGGAATGGCTCACCTCACAAGGTTGTGGATGGGACTCAAGAGTCCACCTAAGGTCCTATACTCTGTAAAGGCTTTGCATTAGGCCTATTTCACTGGGCAAGTTTTAGAACCCCTTTTAGGTATTCCAATCAGTTATAGGCTGAAGGCGGTCTTAAAAGTTTTCACTAATCATGTTTCCCAACATTCCTTTCTATCCCACTCAAGTGTCTATTTTACAATAGTAGGCAAGGGAAACTAATATTCATAATGCAGTCAAGAATTTTAGTATTATTTACCCTCTTCAAGCTATACCTAGATCCCTGTATCCCAGAGCCCTGTTGTTCCAAGTCTTAGTATGCATCACTATTTACTTCTGTCCCACTAGGCCATGCAAACCTGTCTCAGTGTTTCCCTATCTATCTTGTTCTTCTGCCTCCTTCCCCCTTCTTGTATTGCCCTCACCAACATGCAAACTTAACCCCCCACCCTAACCCCATTGTGGTTACCTTATATTCCATTAGTTCTTCCCTCCATTTAAGACAGTCTATTTTATCCAGTAATCTACCTGACCTTCCCACCACCTGGATCTCTGCTCTTCTGTGTTTACCTTTTTCACATTGTAATTGTTTTGATCATAGACTGACCTCCCAGATCCTCTGTTCTTATCATTTTATTCTGTTCTTGACTTTTCATTTGTCGAATGAGTTCAGGTTGATGCTGCCATGTATGTCATTCTGTGGTTCTTATGTGTTCTTGTTGGTTCTCAGTTCACAGAACTTCCTTTAAGATGTTTTTCATAGCAGGGTTGGCTTTGGCAAAATCCCTTAGCTTCTGCTTATCCTGGAATGTTTTGATTACACCATCATATTTGATTGACAGCTTTGCTGGGTAGAGGATTCTTGGGTGGCAGTTGTTTTCTTTCAGGGTTTTATATATCTCTCCCCATTACCTTCTTGCCTGCATGGTTTCTGTTGAGAAATCTGAGCTTAATCTGATTTGCCTGCCTTTGTATGTTATATTTCTCTTTTTCCTAGCTGCTTTCAAGATCCTGTCTTTATCTTTGATTTTGGAGAGCTTGATTATTATACGTCTTGGTGATTGTCTTTTAGGGTCTATCCATCCTGGGGTTCGTTGAACTTCTTAAATGCTTATCTTTTCACTTTTCGGAATGTTAGGAAAATTTTCTTCCAGAAGCTCTTCAACTATCTCCTCTGTGGACTTGTGTGATTGTTCCTGTTCTGGAATGACAATAATTCTTATGTTACTCCTTTTCATGTTATCCAATATGAATCTTAGGCCTTCTTCGGATTTTTTTATCCTTTTTTTGTATTTGTTCTATCTTAGTAGTGTTGAGAGATTTATCTTCTAGCTCACTAGTTCTAGCTTCTATCTCTTCAATTCTGTTCCTTTCTTCTTCCAATGTATTGTTCATTTCTGATATTCTATTATTAATCGTTTGGACCTGTTTCTGTAGGTTTTGAATTGTTTCCAATGCTCTATCTATCTTATTTGATTGTTCCTGTAGCAATTTCCTGACTTCTTCCTTATTTTTCTCAACTCCATTGTATAGTGTTTTGGTACCTTTTATAATCACTTTTAGGAATTCCTTCTCAGGCATTTCCAAAGCCTGCCCATCTTCTAGTATGGAGTGTAGGTCTCCTTCCAGCTCATTTGCCTCAGTCACTTTATCTCGTTTCTGGACATGTGCAGATATGGCCATCTGCTTCTGTTTTTTTGGGCATCTTCAGGGGTTATCTGTGGACTTAATACTTAGATGGGTATGTATTTTGGTATTTTTTATGCTTTCTGAATGCCTCCAGGTAGATGTGATCAGGAAATGGGCTTCCCTTTTCACTCTTCTTCCTGAGAAGTTTCAAGATACCACTGTTGGTTGTTTTGACGTAACTTAGGATTTAATTTTCGGCCTATTTCCTCTTTTGTCTGCTTGTCCCGCTCCACAATCCCCATTCAGGCCTTTTTTCTAGTTGGAAACAATTCAGGGCCGGCTGTGGCCATTTGGTTTTAATTGGAAACTGTGTCTTTAAATTTTGAGGAGATCTGTGCACATGCGTAGTAGAACTCTCTGAGGGTGGGGCTGGGGTGCCCAGTAGCTCAGGCACCCCTATAGTCACCAGAATGGAGGTGCACAGACAGCAAGGTATCAATGATCAGATACCAAAAGAACAGAATGTCCACACCTTTATCTCAGTAGTTCTGTAAGCCGATCCTTCCCTGACGTGGTCTCACCAAGATGGCGGCTCCTGGAGCAGCCGAGCGTCCCAGACTAGAAAGCAATAGATTTCTTGCTTCTGCCACAAATTCCCCCAGCTGTAGGCCTTCCAACCTTCTAAATATTCCTTTATATGTGGTTCAGAGTTCTGGGACCATCCCGAGCCTGCTTGGTCGGGTATTCTGTGTTGTTGTTGGCGGAGCTCTGTACTACACGTCCACCCGATCCACCATCTTGTTTGTTCTGTCTAGCCTGACTTTTTTGATACAAGAGTTAGTAATTTCAGTGAAGCCAAATTTACCATTCTTCCCAAATTGTATGGTTTGGACTTTAACACACTTTGGGTTTAGTTTTATCAATTTCTTGCACAGGGATCTTAGTTTTTCACTTTTCAAATTGGTAAGTAATTGCTCCAGCACTGTGCAGAATCACTGAGCTTAAGCACAAGAGAATGTACCACGGTTACCTATATAGTGTTACTTCTGAACTCTGGGAAATTATCCCATGGAAACAGAACCAAACAACCTGACATCATAAATCACATGTGTAACTAACTAGAAACGATCCAAGTATCTAAGAAAAGTGAAGAAGAGCTAACATTAAAAATGGACATTTATGAAGAATAGTTAAAGACATAAAAAGGTGTTGAATAGTTTTGTGAAATAAAGCAAGATACAAAACTGTATGTATCATGGAATGCAGACTTCTGGAGGCATGGAGGCTGGATAAACCTTAAATCAAAAACATCCCATGAAGTCTACTGAAAACCAAATAGTTCCGTTTAACTAATAAAAATGGTCTGCCTTGAGCATTATGCTCTTTTAAGACCTAGCTCTAAGGGATAAAATTGACACCAGCAACCAGAAACACAGGAGCATTAAGAAGTAATGAATTTATGTTAATGAAGGAGGAACAAATCAGAAATAGAGGGTGAGAATGGTGGCACGATTCAAAGAATGTAACTGCGAGCACTAAATTATACATGTCCAAATTGTTGAATTGGTTTATGTGTCGCAGAGTATATTCTCAACAAAATGAAGTGATTACAAAACTGTACGTTAAAGTATATTATTCATGAAAACCACAATATACACAGTATAACTAAAATCACTAAACTGAATGAAATACAGAAAAGGCCAGAAAGAAGTAAATTTAAAATATGAATTAAGGATGATATATTTATTTTCTCCTCAGTCTTCTCTTCCCAAAATGTGGGATACAATGTGGCTACATTTCGTTGTGTGAGTGGTGGTTGTTTTTTTGTAACATTTTATGGCGTTGGCAAAGACTATTGACAGCACCATGGAATGCCGGAAGAACAAACAAATCTTTCTTTGAAGAAGGACAGCCAGAATGGTCCTTAGAAACCACGGTGGTGAGACTTTGAGTCTCTCTTTCAACATGTTATTAGGAGAGACCAGTGTCTGCAGAAGGACATCATGTCGGTAAAGTGGAGGGCCCTAGAGAAAGAGGATGACCCCTAACAAGATAGACTGACAAAGTGGGAGCAGCAAAGGGCTCAAATATAAAATTATGAGGCTGGTGCAGCATTGCGTATAGGGTAGCTTTAAGTTGGAACTAACTGAATGGCACCTAACAACAGCTGCATGGTTTGGGTTAAAGTTTACAGAGCATATTAGCTTCCCACTCAACAATATCTACACATTTCTATTTATTAAAAATAAAAATAAAGCACAATTGGCCACAGGAGAGTGAGTGGCGATGACGGGCAGTTTGCCTCGGCACCTGCGTGGCACTTCTACTCACCGTTCCTCTGTCTTTTCATTCTTCGGTGCTGCAGATACTCAAGCCAGGCCCTCAGGGAGCGCCGTTTTTGTGAGTGCTGATGGAGCATCTTTGCAGAGACCACCTTCTGTCTGTTGCTCTGGGCATACAGGAGCTGTTCCTGCCACTTGGACCAAGCCTGGAACACAGAGAGAGGAACACAGAGATAAGTGAAGATGAGGGAAAGAGAAGCAGAAAGGGAGTCAAGTGAGGACCAAGGAAATGGGGATCTCCATGCAGAGTCATTGGGGATGGGGAACAATGATTCTAAGAAGGGTACTGACTGCTTTGAGAGAATTTTTTTTTCTGCGTTTAAAAATAAGGGAAAAATCAAAACTAATGAGCAGACAAAGCAGCAAGAAAAATCTTGGATTCAAAAGGGTAATAAATGATTCAGATTTGGGGTGGACATCTTACAATGTGAGAGGAAGCCCACTGTAAAGGGGACTTTCTTGGGCAGGTCAGTTTCAGGGATGTTACCTACAGAAAATTGAGGGTCTACAACAGGAAGCTCTGCAGGACTACCCATAAATCTGTACCCCAGGACAGTGTTGATGTACATTTAAAGGGTGTCGCTCTGTGAGTTAATACGCCAGACTGCAAAGCTGTTTCAACTGCAAAGTCGGTGGTTCAAGCTCACCAGTAGGCTCCTCGGAAACCCTATACAGGGTCGCTATGGGTCAGAACTGACTCAATGGCACTTAAGAACATCAAATGACTACTTTGAAAATGGCTGTATTGGACAAAGACTTTACACATTCTTTTTGTAAACCTGTAATACACACCTCTTCTCCTTTCCTTCCTCTCATTTGATTACCAATCAAAACCAAACCTACTGTCAGGTTGATTCCGACTCACAGCGACCCTGTAAGGACAGAAAAGGTCCAAAGCTGTCAATCTGAATGGATGCATCATTCTCCTATGGCACGGCTGCTGGGTTGGAACTACCAACCTTTAGGTTAGCAGCTTAGCACGTGAACTATGGCACCACCAGGGCTCGCAAAGCTGATCACCGTTCTTTCTATTTCACCTAGGAAACAAAAGCTATCAAAAGAGAATTCCTGGAGAACAAACAAGATGTCGAAGGGAGCAGACGTGCAGTGAGGAGCTCCGTCAGCAACAACACAGAACACTGGACCAATAAGGCTCAGGGGATGGTGCCAGAACTCTGAACTACATATAAAGGAATATTTAGAAGGTTGGAAGGCGAACAGTTAGGGGAATTTGTAGCAGAAGCAAGAAATCCAATGCTTTCTAATCCAAGACACTCAGCTGCTCCCGAAGCCACCATACTGGGAGAGACCAAGCAGAGGAAGGATCAGAGCAGCCACGGACACCTGACAGAACCATGAGATAAAGGTGTGGACATTCTTTTTTTTTTTGTATCTGTTCATTGGTCTCTTGCTGTCTGCACACCTCCATTCTGGTGACTAGAGGGGATGCCTGAGCTAGTGGACACCCCACCCCCACCCCCAGAGGGTTCTACTAAGCATGCACATAGAGCTCCTCGAAATTTAAAGTGACAGTTTCCACTTAAAACGGCAGTGCAAAATGGCCACATCCAGCCCTGAACTGTTTAACGCTAGGAAAAAAATAGGCCAAAAACCTAATGCTGAGTTATGTCACAACAACCAACAGTGGCATCTTGAAATTTCTCAGGAACAAAGAGTGAAAAGGGAAGCCAATCTCCTGATCACATTTACCTGGAGGCAATCAGAAAGAATGAAAAAAAAAACAAAATACGTACCCATCTAAGTATTAAGGCCACAGATAACCTCTGAATATGCCCAAAAACCAGAACCAGATGACCATATCAGGACATGTCAAGAAACAAAATAAAGTGACTGAGGCAAATGAGTTGGAAGTAGACCTACAACCCATACTGGAAGACGGGCAGGCTTTGGAAGTATCTGAGAAGGAATTCAGAAAAATGATTATAAAATGTATCAAAATACTATATAATGGAGTTGAGAAAAATAAGGAAGAAGTCAGGAAAGCGCTATAGGAGCAATCAAATAAGATAAATACAACATTGGAAGCAATTAAAAACCTACAGAAAGATGTCCAAAGGATGAATAATAGAATATCAGAAATGGACACTACACTAGGAAGGGCAAAGGAGTAGAATTGAAGAGATAGACACTAGAACTAGTGAGCTAGAAGATAAATCTCTCAACACTACTAAGATAGAAGAACAAATACAAAAAAAGGATAAAAAAACCTGAAGAAAACCTAAGGTTCATGTTGGACAACATGAAGAGGACTAACGTAAGAATTATCAGCATTTCAGAACAGGAACAATCACACAAGTCCACAGAGGAGATAGATGAAGAGCCTCTGGAAGAAAATTTCCCTAATATCCTGAGAAGCGAAAAGTATTCAAGAAGCTCAACGAACCCCAGGAAGGATACATCCTAAAAGACAATCACCAAGACATATAATAATCAAGCTCTCCAAAATCAAAGATAGGGACAGAATCCTGAAAGCAGCTAGGGAAAAGAGAAGTTTAACATACAAAGACAAGCAAATCAGATTAAGCTCCGATCTCTCAAGAGAAACCATGCAGGCAAGGCGGCAATGGGGAGACATATATAAAACCCTGAAAGAAAAAACTGCCGAACAAGAATCCTGTACCCAGCAAAGCTGTCAATCAAATATGACGGTGTAATCAAAACATTACAGGATAAACATGAGCTAAGGGATTTTGCCAAAGCCAACCTTGCTATGAATAACATCCTAAAGGAAGTTCTGTGGACTGAGAACCAACAAGAACAGACAACAACTACAGAATGATGTACGTAGCAGCATCACTCTGAACTCAGTTGACAAATGGAAGAATCAATAACAGAATAAAATGATAAGAACAGAGGATCTGGGAGGTCAGTCTATGATCAAAACAATTACAATGTGAAAGGTGGTAAACACAGAGGAACAGAGATCCAGGTGGTGAGAAGGTCAGGTGTAGATTACAGGATAATAAACGGTCTTAAATGGAGGGAAGAGTTAAAGGAATATAAGGTAACCGCAACAGTGGGGTTGGGGTGGGAGGTTTAGTTTGGGTGATGGGGAGGGAAATACAAGAAAAGGGAGGAGATGGAAGAAGACAGATAGGGGAACACTGACACAGGTTTGCATGGCCTAGTGGGACAGAGGTAAACAGTGATGCATGCTCAACCTTGAACCAACAGGGCTCAGTGATACAGGGAGCTAGGCATAGTTTGAAGAGGGGAAATTATACTAAAATGCTTGACTGTCTTATGAATATGGATTTCCCTTGTCTATTATTGTAAAATAGACACTTGAGCAGGCTAGAAAGGATGTTGGGAAACATGAGTACAGAAAACTTGTAAATATGTCTTCAGCCTATAATTAACTGGAATATCTAAAAGGGGTTCTAGAACTTGCCCAGTGAAATAGGCCTCTTGCAAAGCCTTTGCAGAGTATAGGACCTTAGGTGGAATCCTGAGTTAAGTTCAGAACCCTATGAGGTGGAACATTTCCACTAGTAAGGACAAACATTGTCAACGAAAGATCATCAGGAAAAACCCAAAACAAAAATGTCAGCATGACTGGCTACTACAAGAATAAGCAAGCTGTTTGCCAGGAAGACATCAAGGCTAGCAATCAAGTTCCTCAGGACAAACTCCCCTCTAAGACTGAAACTCAAAGGGAACACATGAGCAGGCATGTAAGCTTGCTGGCGACCACATTGGTCTACTGGTGAGTGGAAGAAGTGGGGGAAGGCAGCAGTGAAAAAATGGGTTGAGTTCAACCACAGTCCATTAACTCCCATTGACCTGGAGATGAGAGAGAGAAGAGGGAGGGCTGGTTGGTCCAAAATGTGGTGAGACCTGGGGACACCTGAGCCTGTGGACAAGGACATAGTCACAGAATGCTAGAGATGAGAGTGAAGCATCCAGTTGATATGAAGTGAGTGGAGATTGTCAAGAACACCCAAACTTGCAGACAGTACCCATTTAACCTAGCCTCGATGGCTTGATAATCTGAAGTCGACTAGAGAATGATAAAAAAAAAAAAATTTTTTTTTGATAATGGAAATGAGGATAAATTGCTACAGTTTGATGAACTTGACCTATACATGGAGGTAGTAACTCTAAATACCAACAGAGAGGGAAGGAGTCTTCACATCAAGTATCAATGCTATCCCCTCTGTACACAGGGTAGATAGGGATAGGCAACTTAGACATTGGCTACCTAAAATGAGGGGACAATAAAGGCACGAAGTGACTGGCTTACAAGGTTTCAAGAGGGAGTTTAGTTTAAGAGTATTGGGGGGAGGGGGAGATAGAGCCTTCACTGAATAGTTTTCATCTTGTCTAGATAAGTCTGATAAAAAGAAATGGGGATAAGATTCTTATAATTCAATAGTGAATAACTGTTATTGTGAGTAATTGACACTGTCACAACTGTAAAGGTGGAGTAGTTTATCTTATAGTCCAGAAACAGAGAACCCCAGGACCATCTAGGGAGAAGAGCTCAAGCCGAATGCGGGACCTTATCCAGAGAAGCAGCGACACCAGAGATGGAGGCAGAGATGGGGACACGGAGAGAAGGAGCAGTTGAGGACTCTAGATTCCTGGAAAGAGAGGGACTGAGAGCTGGTGGCTAGGAGGTAGGCTTGCAGAATGTGCCCTTTGGTGGTTTAAATTAATATATGTGCCTGAGTGTTTAAAAAAAAATTAATAGAGAGAAATACTGTTAACTGATGGTACATGGAGAAGATTACAATGATCGTAATGAAAAAAGTACATGATTTGTTGAATGTAAAACTGATGATCTTCCTTCCCTGTAAACTTTCACTCAAATCACATTAAAAAAGAAAAAAAAAAGAATTCCTTCAAGCTTCTGCCCTGTCCAAACTACCTGCCAAAAGGCCTTGCTTCCTCCAGTGGCTCTGGACACACATCCCTGCTCCTCGCATGGAAGGCCACTCCCTGCCACCACCTGAGAGTACTTCCCTTTTTCTCTCATATTTCAAGTTGAGCACTCTAGTAATGCCTCATCAGTCTCACTCTCTACTACATTTTTTATTTATTTAAAGTTTGTGAATTATGTGACAGTTTACACAGGAAAACATTAGTTTTACATTCATCCTATCGTATATCGTTTCATTGCCAT